TTCAGTATGAGACAGTAACAATAAAACTAGGCATTTAATGTTTTTCTTTTCTTTCTTTCTCCTTTTTATAACACACACTTAGGGTCTGAGGCTTGAGTGGACTCCCATGGGGACCAGTGATTCAACGAGAAACAGCCATTATAGAGACCACAGCACATTTCCAAAAATTCTCATGAATCAGTGCTTTGCTCTTGTCTGACAAATTCATACAGGTAATTAAATAAATTGCCAGTATTTTAAGTCTAAATGGACTACTGATTCCATTATCCTGGGATACTTATTTAGAGTAGACAAAATAATTCCTTTCTTGTATATGTTTGAATAGGACTAAAAATCCCCCTACATGTACCTTAGCAAAACCAATAATACATTGAAACTTCTTTATTTATTTTTAATTTTTTGGTTTGTCTCCGGTACCAGGAACCGAACTCACGACCTTGCGCTTGCCAGGCAGGCGCTTTGCCGCTGAGCTAAACCCCCAGCCCCTGAAACTTCTATCTAAGAGACGCGCATCATCTCTTAAGGTTCTTTGTTAATCCATATAATGCTCAATCTCCTAAGTGTATTGTGCTCACCAAGAGTTTGTCTCTTGGTTTTTCTTTCCTACATGTTCTAATTTACGAGACAGTAAGAAACGTGCTTCACTCCTCTTTGATTCCCAGTTTCCAGCATATAACACTTGACATACCGCACAAGCCCAGTGAGTGTGTACTGAAATATTTCAGAGGGTGTAAATGTATTTTCAATTACTCCTTTTTTTTTGGTCTTTTTGAGACAGGGTCTTGTTATGCAGTACAGGCTGGCCTCGAGCTCACTTTAACCCAGGCTGGTCTCGAACCCTCAATGATCCTCCTGCCTCAGCCTCCCAAGTGCTGGGATTACAAGTGTGCGCCATCATGCCAGGCTCAATTACTTTTTACCTACCTGGAAATCTAAGTGTTAAATCACTTGCTCATCTTCAGTTTTACCCAGAAATTCTTCCAGATTGTCTTTCCAAATCTCTTGCTTATTTTTCTATTGGGTTATTCATTTTTTCTTACCTATCTATAGTCCTTGGTGTTTTATATGCTATTGTGAAAATAAGGCATTTGCCTATTATCTTTGCAAATATTTTCTCAATCTGTTACTTGCCTTTAATATATGTTATCACTCACCATGCACAAATTATTCTTTAATATAACCCAAATTATCAATCTTTTTTGGGGGGGGTTGGACTTTGTATATCTGAAGATTTTCCCTACCATAAGGTCGTAAAGATAGCATCCTACAAACAACAGTGTTTTTAAGGACGTACAGTCCTCCTGAGACTTCAGGTAAACCATACACTTACTGCATTTAACTTCTGTAGATGATGTTACAATGAGGCTTTTTTAGTCTCGATTTTATTTTCGGGCCTCCAAATGGTGTCAGTTGCTCAGGTGCCAAAGGAAAATGCTGGCTGACCTAACAGGAATTGGAAAGTTGTCTGAAAATAGATTTTGGATCCTTTCGCCCAACAGCCACCTTAAGGATTCAAAGGGCTGACAAGGCTGGAACCTGAAGAAGGATTTCTTCAAAGAAAATTATGCAGTGAAGCACATCCAGCTCCCCTCCTGCCACCCAGGAGAAAGGAGGCAGAGCTGCTCCCTGCTTTCCCTGTCTAGTGAGGCTTCAGAAGCCACCTGGAAAGGCTCAGTACCTCCGTCCCTGGCCAGGGTCAAGGGTGTGTGAGTGCCTGAAGACCCGGAGTGGAGGCAGTGGTCGGACTGTGGAACGGGGAACTGCCTGGGTATGGGGTCTCAGCTGGAAGAGGG